GCATCCAGTGCCATATTCATAGAAATGTTTTCCTAGAAAACTGGCATTTTAACAAGGAAGGGCTCTTTTTAGGCCTTAGTTCTGCCCTTTGAGCAAGTTCTGTCTCTGTTCTGCAGCACTAAGAGACAGCCCTGCCTCTATAAAACACACTTCAAGGCAAGGCAGGGTGGAGGTAGAAATTCACAGCCACCAAATCCTCATTTCTACTTGCCCACTCCCTTCTATTTCCCTGTTTAATTACAGAAGGTGTTTCCAACTCACACAAATCTAGTACATATTTATAAATATTTGGTCCTCATCTACAGGTGCAAAAAGACACAAGAAGTGTAAAATACAGTCCCTGTCAGAAAAGGATTAGGCCCTACCAGAGGAAACAAACAAACAAACAAAATATATATATATATATATTTTTTTTTTTTTTTTTAGACGGACTTTCGCTCTTGTTGCCCAGGCTGGAGTGCAATGGCGCAATCTCGGCTCACTGCAACCTCCGCCTCCCGGGTTCAAGTGATTCTACTGCTTCAATCTCCCAAGTAGCTGGGATTACAGGCGCCCGCCACCACACCCGGCTAATTTTTTGTATTTTCAGTAGAGACAGGGTTTCACCATGTTGGCCAGGCTGGTCTCTAACTCCTGGCCTCAGGTGATCCACCTGCCTTGGCTTCCCAAAGTGCTGGGATTACAGGCATGAACCACTGTGCTGGCCTAAAAAATTATTCTTAAAAGAGCAAATACTATTTTGATATTTGTTTCAGGGCAATAATGCCACTGCAGTTCGAAGAGTATGGAATATATCCCCAGGAGCTGAAATGTTTTGGGGACATTTCATAAAGAGGTAGGTAGAAATGGAGCTGGACTATGGACAAGAGAGAAGCTGAAGGAAAAGGTCATCTCCACAGGCCATAGGTCACTGGATTCAGCCATGAGAGGATTTGTGTAAAGAAAGAGTACATATGGAATGTTTAGCAAACCATTTGGTTAGTGGGGATTAGGATAAACCCTGAGGAGGTAGGCTGGAGTCAGCTGGACTATATCGCCTTAAATGCCACATTAGGACATCAGATCTCATCCCATAAGCCTGTAGTAGTTCCTGATTTCAGTGCAGGATCTCCACAGTCTGCGCAGTGTGAAAAAGTCCTGAAATTGGCCAGGCAAGGTGACTCACATCCGTAATCCAGCATTTTGGGAGGCCGAGGTGGGAGGATCACTCCAACCAAGGAGCTAGAGGCCAGCCTGGGCAACAAGCAAGACTCCGTGTCCATTAAAAAAAAAAAATTAAAATTAAGAATTAGCTGAGCACAGTAGTGCCCACCTGTAGTTCTAGCTATTCTGGAGGCTGAGGCAGGAGAATCACCTAAGCCCAGGAGTTCGAGGCTGCAGTGAGCTATGATCGAGCCACTGCACTCCAGCTGGGCAACAGAGTAAGACCTGTCTCAAAAAAAAATTAAGTAATTAAAAGTACTAAAGTTTGCCGGGCGCAGTGGCTCAAGCCTGTAATCCCAGCACTTTGGGAGGCCGAGACAGGCGGATCACGAGGTCAGGAGATCGAGACCATCCTGGCTAACATAGTGACACCCCGTCTCTACTAAAAAAATACAAAAAACTAGCCGGGGCACAAAAAAAGGTGAAAAGACGAGGCGTTGTAAGCCCAGCTAACAATTGAGGAGGAGCTGAGGCAAGGAAGAAATGGCGTAAAACCGGGAGGCGAGGAAGCTATGCAAAGATGAACCATGGAGATCAGGCCACTAGACAAACTCAGAACCTGGAAAGGTGAGCAGAGCGAGACTACGACATCTTATAAAAAAAAAGAAAAAAATCATAAAAAAAAGAAATATAACAGAATAAATAGAATATATAGCAAAGATAAAAGACAGGAAGAGGAGGAAAGTCTACTTTTTGTTTTTTTTTTTAGAGAACGGAAAAAAGGCATAGCTTACGAAAATGCAGCACAACGAGGCAGGGGAAAAGAAGGCAAAGGAGGCACAAAGCCGGAGGCTCAACGGGGCAACCGTCCACCCTCCCAAGTGTCAACGGATCGCCTGCCTGAGCCCCCTGGAGGAGCTGGTCAAGATTACAGGCACGCCAACCACCAGGGCCGGCTAGATCTTTGTATTTTATAAGTAGAGAGCGGATGCGTCACCAGGTGTTCAGGTTGGTTCTCGACCTCCTGACCTCCGTGAATCCAGCCACTCGCAACTCGCCACAGTGCGGACTACAGGCATGAGCCCACCCACGCCTGTGCCTTGAGGGTCTACTATCGTATAACAACCAGGCGCTGAGCAGCAGGTGCACGTACAAAAGGCCCGATCCCACAAACCAGGCACAGGGCGAGGCCGGGACGACGGACCGAGGGCAGGAGGACGGTTACCCCCACCCAGGAGTTTGAGACTAGCCTAAGGCAACACTAGTGAGACCCCCATCTTAACCAAAAAATTAAGACAAAGAAAATTAGCCAGGGCATAGTGGCCAGCCACATGTGTTAGTCTTAGGCTGACTGGAAGCAG